CTCCAGAAACACACCGGTAAGTGGGGCAAGACTATGATCGAGTACCGGTCACAGAAGACCTCGCGCCTGCCCATCATTGACATTGCACCCATGGACATAGGAGGGCCCGAGCAGGAATTCGGTGTGGACATAGGGCCTGTCTGCTTCTTGTAAAAACCCGAACCCAGAAACAACACAATCCATTGCAAACCCAAAGGACCCAAGTACTTTCCAATCCCAGTCACTCTAGGACTCTGCACTGAATGGCCGACCTGACCTGATGTCCATTCATCCCACCCTTTCACAGTTTGGATTTTCTCCCCTCTCTTTCTGAGAGACCTGAACTGGGCAGACTGCAAAATAAAATCTCGGTGTTCTATTTATTTATTGTCTTCCTGTAAGACCTTTGGGTCAAAGCAGAGGCAGGAAACTAACTGGTGAGAGTCAAATGCCCCCTGAGTGACTGCCCCCCACCCCCAGCCCAGGCAAGAAGACCCACTTCAGGTGCCGGGCGCAGGAACTGTGTGTGTCCTACACAATGGTGCTATTCTGTGTCAAACACCTCTGTATTTTTTAAAACATCGATTGTTATTAAAAACAAAAAAAAAATTATTGGAAAGTATATATGGACTCGAGTTTGTTCTTTATTTTCCAACCAGATGGCCATCCGAAGGCGTTCTCTTGTTGACTTTTCAACCAAAGGGAGGGCATTGGGGCCACACTGCCTGGTTCAGTGACCTCACGTGAACAGACTTGCCGCTTTTTGTAAACTGTGGCACTGTGTAGAATCCAGGGGTGAACTGGGGCTACAGACCAAGATTTGGGAAGGGAGGGTCAAAGAAGGGATGACAGTAAACAGAGGATGGGACAATCTTGCTGGGTGGGCGAGGTTGAAGGTGCTCCTGAGGGAGGAGGGTGGGTGGAGGGGGGGGAAAGAGAGGGAAGGGAATCTTTGGGGGCCATGATAAGTACACACAATTAGGCAATTTTGGTGACCTACTTATTTGTGTCTTTTTCTAAGACTTTTAGATCAAGGAGAGGTGGGAGTGTTGAACACTTAACCACCCTTATTCCTGTCCCCCCATTGAGTACTTCCCAGACCTACATTTAAAGCTTCTCTTCACTTCCTCCAACATCGGGCTTATGAACAGACAGCTTCCCATCTCTCCTTCCCATCAGGTGTCCCTTGCTTCCCAATGCCTTGTGCACGTGGTAAAAATGAGGAAGCTGACACCTTCTCCCCTAGAGAGGGCTAGTTCATAATTTAGATAAGAGAGCTAATGGGAGCCAAGAGAGAGCAGTGAGGTGTACAGATGTTTATTAAAATATTTCCTTACACAACAGGTAGAAATGAAGAGTTGAGTTTGGTTTGAACCTGTCAACCTTACTCCAAGAGCTCATTCTGCTTCCTAGCTAGCTCACTTGGCTTCACACAGTGGCATCAGAGCTACTTATTCCTTTTTTTTTTTTTTTTTAATAATAGTTTATTGATTTTTAAAGGGAGAGAAATATCGAAGTGAGAGCAAAACATCAATTGGCTGCCTCCTGCACGCCCCCTACAGAGGATCAAGCCTGCGACCTGGACATGTGTCCTGACAGGGAATGGAACAGGCAACCTTTTGGTGCATGGGCGACACCCAATCAACTGAATCACACTGGCCAAGGCAGAGTTACTTATTCTTACTAAAGCAGCTCAGACCTTTGTGCGTGAAGTTCCATTTGCACCAGGATATAAAGATGATCCCACACACTTTCTGGGTACCCGGTTAACCCTAGAAATTGTAGTAACTGTTGCATAGTATTCGGGAAGAGAAGCCGAGGAACAGAGAACCTTGCCTGTGTGCGGTCAAACTGAAATGCACCACCCTGGCTGGCAGTGAATGTGCTCCTTACTGCTGCTTCCTGGTCCCAACCTGGCCCAGAAGGGGTGAGGGTAATCAGGTTCATACTAATTCCTGTGACCCCTAAAGCCCCAGGACAGACAGGTCTCTCCAGTTAGAATAACTTCTCATATGAAACCCGGACCCTCAGCAGGCTTGAGCAGACAGAACTGGCTTACTAATTGTGAGGCCTCAGTCAGGTTATTTTTCCTCTCTTGAGCTTCCTCAGCTCTACTGAAGTTTCTGAAGGCGTTTAACTGGGAGTCAGGAGTCTGCTCCAGCCAAGACTTACTCAAGTTCCCCAGATCCAGGGTAAATTACACAATAACTTCTGAAATACTTCCCCTTCTAAACAAGGAACACAGAATCTTAAAGAGTGCTCTCAAAAATCTCACTGAAGAATCTTACTTACAAGGCAAAAAATAAGGACTATTTGAGCAGAGGAAATATTTGGGAACCCCTAGGATTCATGGAGAGTGTTTATAAATAGGTTGATTCCTTTAGTCATGTTTCACACTTGGGTTTAGAATTCCTAGACAGCTGATCCAGAGATTGGGGTAACAAGTTAAAAAAGACGGGGCCTGCTGAATATAAAAGGCTTATAATGCTGCTTGCTTTCTTAGCACATCTACTAAAACATTGACAGTACATATGGCACATGAATCTGGGTAGATTAGTGCAAGAGAAGTGATATGCTCTGAGTTAGCATGGTGCCTGCACAATGACATGCAAATTTGTGAAGCATTCGATATTTTTGGCCACAGACAATAGTTTGGTGAAGGCCAAAGGAGGAGGACATGGGGGTGAAGGTGAGCAAAGGGTGGGAAAAGGGGGACACCTTCAATCATGTCAACATTAAAAATGTTTAATTAAAAAAATCTAAAACAAAAGGCTTGTGATGTTTTAAACTTCTAGCTATGACTCTGGATAAAACACATCAGAAAATGCAATCCCTAGCATACAGCAGGTGCTCAATAAATACCTTTTGGAATGAGTAAATGAATAAATGGAGATTTCAACCAAGTGACCCGGCATAAGTAGTTTGAGGGCAAAAAAGGGGTTCCAGTAGAGGCCAAGCTGGAAGCTACAGAGAAAGATCTCTGAGTTTCATTTTCAAGAAGCACACTATTCTCAAATTTCAATCTACTAGTGAGTGTTTGCTCAAGAACTGACGGATAGCCTGGCACAACGATGCAGAGCATCCTACAGGGCAGCTTGGGAGGCTAAGAAATAAACAGGTATGAGATTTCATAGCATTATGAGGTCAGACATACCGCTCTGTTTAAAACAATCCAGCTGTGATATGCTTTCATTTGCATATCACAGCTGAATTTAAAGGTAATTCTGAGAAGAAATGCCCTTGAAGCACAGTCACAAAAATCATTGAAACTTAAGGACCAATATGAGTAGCTTTTCCAAAATTACATGAAAACATCCGCTAGAGGCTATTTGGAAAACGGAAAAACTAAAGAGGAAATGTCGCAAGTGAGCATCTTCCTGTGTTGAGGGCAACTTTTTCAGAAACGGTGTACATTTGCAAGTCCTGTCCCATCATCAATATACCGCACAGTCATCACTGCTGTGTTCATACAGACAATTAAAGGGCCCAGTGTAACACTGAAACTCAGCTCTCAGCGTGCGGTTACTCAATCGTAAACAATGCCAATAAAACAGTCACAAAATTTAGCCTTTGTTTAAAAGATTCAGTGTGGCCCTAGCCATGTTTGGCTCAGGGGATAGAATGTAGTCCCGGAAAACTGAAGGGTTCTGGGTTTGATTTGTCAAGGGCATGTATCTCAGCTACAGGCTGGATTCCTGGCCCCATCGGGGCACATTTGGTAAGCAACCAATTTATGAGATAGATATTTTTCTCTCTCCATCTCTCCCTCTTAGTTCCACTATCTCTAACAATCAATGTAAAAATACCCTCAGGTGAGGATTAACAAGGAAAAAAGAAATTCAGTGTCAAAATCAATGAGCAAATATTGAAGATGGAGCTATGGGAATGAGGACTAAGATTGACCCCTGCCACCACCAGCTGCTGTGAGGGCTTCCGGAGGCTACCTCAGCTGAGGTCTGAAACCTGACTACTCAAGCTTCCCACTGTGGGGCTGGAGCCCACTTTGATGGCTGTGGCTTGTAGCCGGTGCAAGAAACTTTCAAACTCAAGCCAGGCCCTTTTCATCAGAACGACAGGCAGCGGCCTGAGGAGGGGGGTGGGGTAGTTATTCCACCAGAGGCAGCAGCTTCACTCCTTAGGCATCTCTGCCCTACCTCTTCCATCCTCCAGGGGGCACTAAGTGCTCTGTTTTGGAAGAGCAATAGGGCAGCGTGTCACCACCAGAGACCAGGGAAAAGTGAGGCTGTTCTCTGTGATAAGGGCCTTTGGGAATGGCACAATCAGGGATTCTTCTCTTCCCCTCCCGTCCTGTACTGACCTACTTAGCATGCATCTAATCCCCGCCCCCTCTCCCCCCCTTCCGGCTCCCCCAGGTGTCTAAGACATTCAGGCAAGAGAAGACGCAGATGAATCAAAAGCAGGACTTATTTTTCTACCAAATCCCCAATCCATGTTCCAGCCAATGGATTCAGGGTTAATCAAGCTCCACATAGGCTCTTAGTAAAAACAATTATAAATTTCTACAAGAAAAAAAAGTTTTTTTTAAGTTCCTAGGCATTTAGGAGATGAAAAAAAGTCACATTGAATGGTCTGTGCTTTCTTTTATGTATTCAGACGTTCCTCTTCGGTGCCATGAGGTCCTGATGACAGCTGTGCAGCCGCACGAACAGTCCTACCTCACGTCCCTCTCTGGTTTTATAACCTAGTATCCTGGTCTGCTTTCAATTTATAATCTTCAAGCACAGCTGACAAGTTCGGAATGAAACTCTTAAAACCATGAGTGCCTGCTATTTGCTGGGCATAGAGTGGGTCCTGGGCAGTGATTCGCTGGTTCAGAGAAACGGAAATGGTGCTACTGAGGCAAGTTTTCCTCCCAAGCGGCAGGAGGGTGTTTGCTGGGGATTAAGAGAACCAGTTTCTCCTCTACGTCTGCCACCGGGGTAGGTACAGAATGCAGGCCCTACGAACAGATGGGGTGTCTCTTTCGACAGGTGCTACCCTGGGAGAGCCAAAAGCAGTTTCTAAACAGCTGAGAAGTTTGTTCCACAATCCACATAGTGATGTGTCTCCAAGGAGCTCTGGGTCATGTGGCCAATGTACGAAATCTTCACGGAAGTTCTACGAAAAAGAAACAAGGAGAATTAATTCTGCTTTTGAAATAAGAAAAATTGCCCAAGTAATTTCTTGAAAACTCAGGCAACAATATCCATATGTCCCATACACATATTTTTATGGTTATGCAACCAGAAACCCAGAGAGTCTTTTCATATCCACAGAGATGCTGTAATATTTCTCAGCTGGGGAAGAGTTTACTGGCTTACAGCAATGTCTGTAGACATTCTGGGTTGTTACAATGGAGGGGGTAGGAGGTGGTGTTTCTGGCATCTGGTGGGCAGAGGCCAGGGATGCTATTAGATACCCTACTATGCACCAGAAAGCATCTACAACAGACAACTGTCTCAGCCAAAACGTCAATCGTAGGAGGCTGGGACACCTTGCTCTACACCAAGGAGGGGATTGTCCAGCCCTCCGGCTGTATAAGGCTCACAAAATCCTTTGGTCTGGCCCTGCCAAGGCATTAGGGGCGAGTTAATTAAATGTCTGACCAAATACAGGAGGCTAATTTTTAAGCTGATCATTTTGTATGGCCCTTGAATGATGTTATAAACATCCAAATGGCCCGTGGCAGAAAAAGGTTGCCCGCTCTTGCTCTGCACTCTCCTATTTCAAATGTCTGCAGCAGACCCTTGTCATGGTTCTAGGAGTGACCCTCAAGGTCCACGATACGTGGTAGGTAATTTGTGTGGCTAGAGAGACAGCCTGGCCAAGTGCTCAGTACTTACGCCTGGAGGAAGCTTTCTGTTCTTCACTAGTCTTGTCAGGATTCTAAAGGGATCACAGAACTAAGCCTGGTTTCACAGAAAACATTACACAGCTAATTGTTCACCGTAAGTCTGGGAATTCATAACGAGGTTTTAGACACGGCGTCCAGGACACCAAACGTTTACTGGATCCGTGCCTGAGGGCACAGCCTCTGGCTGGGTGCCTGGTGGATCACACAGGCTCCTCTGTGGAGGTGGCCAGCTCTCACAGCCTCACGTCAGACTCAAAGACAGAGGCTGTGGATGGGAGGGAGAGCAACGTACCTCATGAAGATCACTATGTTGTGCACTGGGATATCGTGTAACGTGCAGAAGAAGCTAGCAAACAGCAAATATAGAAACAGTTTAGTTAAAACAATACAAAAATGAGAAACAGCAAGAGAGTACGGAGTTCCAGTCACACGGAGAGGCAGTCAGCCCTGTCTGGGCGCCTCCCCTCCCCACACCCGCTCTCCTGACCTCGGCGCTGCCATGGCTGACCAGCTCCCAATCCCGTGTCCTTGCATCCTCCCACACCAGGATACTCTTTGTTTTTTTTTTCAAACCCATCATATAAATGCTGGGGCTTGTAAGTGTCTCTAGTGGCTTACTGTTCTCTTTCAGATATCCCAGCACTTCAGTCACATAGCTAAAAACACCCCCCCTCAAATAAATCTCAGGACAGCCAAAGTTAGGGAGCCTACGGGCCAAAGGCTGGGACTGAAGGCAGAACAGCCCCAATCCATCAACTGAGCACAACTCTCCATCCCTTTCATCCAGCAGAGAGAACAGTGTCCTTACTACACATAGGAAAATGGTCCTCCCATCTCCGCCTGCACCATGAAGTCCACCTGTAGAGAGAACACCAGAGTCGCTCTGAGGCCAGGCAGGACTGGCATAGAACAATACTGTCATTAGCATCTAAAGACCTGGGAGCATCCTTCCATCTCAGACACACATTTCCCTAAGCCTGACCTCACACAGACTATGAGCCCCTAACACATTCTTCCTACCTCTTCCCTTCCATGAAGCCAGTGGACCTCAGACTATCATTTTGCCTCCTCTTGATCTGTACCCAAATGCTTTCTTTTACATATTCTTTTGTTCCTCTAATATTTAGCTGATCTCCCCCACCTCTAATTTTTCATACAGAGCTCACCAGGCCTTTCTCATTAACCAGTTCTTACAAGTGGCATTCCCACAGTCCCCACTCTTCTCTCAGGCCTATGGGGTGAGGATCCTAAAAAAACCGGCATACCAGTTGCTCACTCCGAGATGGAATGAGAGAGATGTTCGTCGTCATATATGACCCAACCACTGTGTTCATGTACTGAACTTGGCTGGACAGGCTGGTCACTGCCACAGAGTAGAAGTTGGAGTTCCTGATTTTCAGGGTGGCCTGCATCAGGGCAAGGGAGGAAATAAGTGTCAGTTTCCTGGGTCTGAGACATGCAGGTACACAACCCAGGAAGGAGGCCCTAAGTCTTACCTTGATGGCGAGGATTACCAGGGAGTCCTCCTTATTAGACGTGACATTCATCACCCTGATGCCATCATCATCCACAAGGACTGAATGTGGGAACAGGAAGAAAGCCACCAAACCAAATGCCAGGAGACAGAGCAGGACAGACAGGAGGACATACTGCTTACTGCAAACGACACAGCACACGACCAATGTGGGCAGTCAGATACCAAAGTCCAGTCAGTTAAGATTAAATGAAGAACTAGGACTGATGGGGGCAGGGCCAGGAAAGTTCAAAGGGCTAGGAACCACACACCAGGCAACAATGGGCGCAGAGGCAGAAGCCTTTGCTGTTTGCAGTCTGGGAAGGGAAGCTGGAGAGAGGAGCTGTGCAGACAAAAACCTTTTTCCAACTCCCAGGACACCCCTCCTCCAATTCCTCCCAAGTCAGTTCCTTCCTTTGGCCCTCAGCATGTTTCTAGCTTCAGGTTTCCTCCCCAGGTGGTGATGAGGGAATAAATATCTTTCTTGAGCAAATAGTTTTAAAGGAAATGGAGAAATTGACAAGAACAAATAAAAGTTTTCAAAAAGTTAACTGGCATTTATATGTATAAAAAGGGACTAGGGATAGAAGTAGGTATTAAAAGGAGAGAGATAGGTAACTCACGTTCTCCGGGGGCGGAGTCTCTGATCACTGTGTGGGATCAAAGCCACCAGCTCATTTACTTGCTCTGTAAAAAAACCAAACCATTATTGTGCTAAAAATCTCACGTGTTAACAGTACTTTCCTTCACATCGCACATCAGTCTCCCACATACTTGTTTAGAATTAGACATAGATTCGCATTTTGGGTCTAATAAATAAACAAATAAATCTATAGGGAGTGCCACAAATTACAAAACATGTATCAGTGCTGCCTGCCTGGGCAGTGACGTGGAAGTGGAGAATCTAGGATCTTGTTCTGGCTTTCCTGCATGGCGGTGGGGAAGGCATTACCCCTTTAAGCCACTGTCTCCTCGCCTCTAATATGAAAGCTTTGGAGTAGATGGTTCTCACAGCTCTAACCTTTGTGATGATCTAAACCCTTATGACTTTCTGGGAACCAGCTTCCTGATACATGACTCTGCACCTACCACTCAGGAGTATTTGTTTTTCTCTCCCCACTTGATCTTTCAGATCTTAGGTTGTTAATGATTCACCATCTGCTCCCTTAGAAAGAAGCTTCCAAGATGGTCCCCCACCTCCCACCAAGCAAAGCTGTTCCAATTCTTATAAGCGACAACAATAAAGAAACATGCTTGTCAACAAATCCCACAATGCACAGCAAACTGTTAAAGAGACAACCACAAGCCCAAAGTGGAGTCACTTGTGCTGAAACCATGACCGTGAACCCTGACTTAATACTTGACCTAATTACAGTTTCAGACTTCTACAGGAGTGTAATCTTCATCAGTCTGGAATTTTGGGGTCGGTACCAAGTCTGTCATGTGGACCCTCTTCCTCATCTCCCCACCCCCAAGAACCATCCCCTTTGCCTGAAACAATCCCTTTCTTTCTGTGGGGCTCAGCTACAGTGTGTGGACGGGTCCAGGCCTCAGACTGATGAGCGGGCACAGTCCTCTCGTGGCCACGTGCAAGTCCCAGCTTGGAGGGCAGAGCCCTCCCGGCACAATTATAGCCAACAGCTATAGTTGTAAACTTGAATCTATGGTCCGAACACGTGGCCCCACATGCTTGAGTGATGTAGGCTGCAAGTAAACAAAGCTCGATCAGGTGCATGTAATTGAGTGGGATTGAAACCCACAACACCGCTTGTAGGCCAGTCCCAGCTTTCATTCTCTTGTCTTTTCTAATCCTTCACCGCCTCCACTCAGGGTCACTGAACCTGGCAGAGCTAGCGCAGCATATAAGGCGCCCTGAGGTTGAGTGGGCCATGGCCGTGCCGGCTCCCCAGATATTTTCTTTTGCTAACAATGTTCATGGGCCACCCAGTTTCTGCCTATAAAAGCATCCACACTGTAACAGCTCCTTGGGGCCCCTCTATACGTGGGATGCCGCTCAATTTATGAATCACTCACTAACGACAATTAGATCTTCAAATTTACTTGACTGAATTTTAGCTCTTTAACAAAACCAAAAGTTCCAGACAGAGGGAACAAAAGAACAAAAGAGTAGAAGTGAAGAAAAGAAAGGCTTTCAAAAAATATAAGGACACCAAACAGAAGTTGTGCAACCTGCCCAGATGGATCAGGTCAGCTGAGCAGGTTCCTGTTCAGGGCACCACCTAACACCGTGACATTCCTGCCCAGAGGAAAAGCTCTGTCTGGGAGCGGAAGCCCTGAGGGTACTCTGGGATTCTCGCTGGGGAATCATCCTTCCCTGGATCAAAGGTCTCACCTGTTGGAATGTAGCCTGTCCCTTGGCACGTGAGGCAGGTGATGCTGTCCCGCCCCGTGAACTCGACGTATGGGAACTGGGCAATGGCTTCTTCCTGCTCCCGTGCGTCCAGCATGTCCTCTGTCATCTTTCTTCCGCCTGTAGGAAGGGAGGCGAGCAGAGGCGGAATGCTGAGACCCCATGGCCAGGGTGTGCCACCTGTGTCATGTCCTGGGGGGTGAAGAGTCAAGGTGGTGCATGTTAATGGCCACGCCGCACAAGGAGAGGAGAAACTGGGAAAAGTGGAAGCACAACAGTGACTCAATTGCTGTTTTAAGTGTGACCCCAAACACGTGAACACCTTCTCCCAGGCCTTCGTTAGGTAGCAGGGCTCCCCCTCCCCCTCCGACCGGCTCCGTGCAGCTGGAGGAACTGGGTCACCTCCGCCAACCCGCCCCGCTCCTCACCGTCCGGGACTGGGAGCACCCGGACTGGGAGCACCCGCGCTCCCACCTGGCCCAGCTGTGCCCCTTCTCGCTTACTGCAGCCAACTAACTCTGTGCCCTCCTTCAGAGAAAACCTTCCCCCCCAAACAACGGACAACAAATTAATGACAAGCCTTAGAGATCCTCCCACTCGCCCGTCAGCCCAGGGGGCGGGCTCCGGTCAAGCTCCCTGGGAAAAAGCGACGCTCGGGGACTACCCGGCTGGCCCAGCAGGGAGCGCAGGCCGCAGTCCTGCACCCGCGAGGCGCGAACCCCCACAACTCCTTCCTGGGCGCACCCCACCCCCCGTCCCGCCCCCTGCCCGCCTCGGCGAGTTAACCTGCCTCTCCGGGCCTCGGAGCCGCCGCACTCGGTGCGCACGCGCTGACTGGGGAGCCGGCCGGGGACGCGGCGTGCGCGTGCGCTCTTCGCGGCCCAGCAGCCGGCGCCGCTAGAGGGCTGCGGAGTGCGGGGAGAGCAGCGCCCCTAGCGGCCTGGGGGAGGTAACAGCGCGGAGGGAGCGCGGTGCTCCGCTGTCCTCCAGAAATGTTGGGAAAGGCTCCGGCCAAAGTTTCCGGAGCAGAATGTCTCTCCGCCCGGGAGCAATAAAGAGGCTCCGGCAAGTCAAAGCTATTCTCAACTTCTTATTTGTTTGTTTGTTTGTTTGTTTGTTTATTTATTTATTTTTAGCACGGAGGCCTTGTAGATGCTGAAGGTACAAAGATGCAGAAAACATGAAAACTGCCCTCCCCTCCCCCAGCTGTCCACAAGCAAAAAACACACGCACATAGGGGTTAGAGAACACTTTAAAGTATATACGTTTTTATTTATTTCAGAGAAGAAGGGAGAGGGAGAGAGAGACAGAAACATCAATGATGAGAGAGGTTCATTGATCGGCTGCCTCTTGCACGCCCCGCACTGAGGATGGAGCCGGACACCCCAGCATGTGACCTCACCGAGAATCCAAGCAGGAGCGTTAGAGACCCCTGCCGGCCCAGAGAACACTTTAAAGGTGGGTTTCTCTATTGGTACTGCCAGGTGGAGCTTAGCCTGCAAGCAGAAGGAAGTTGGGGTGGGCGTTAAGCAGTTGGAGTTACTAAAGATGATGCTTGGGGAGAGAGGAGAGATTCTCAACTGAGTGAATGAGGGCCCTGTTTGGCAATGGGGAGTGGACTGTTCACCTCCGAGTTCTCTGCCACCTCCATCTCTCTTTCCTCATTCTCCTGTGGGGAAGGTTGAGGGCTCTGCATCGGTCTGGCCAGTGGCCCAACAGCTGGTCACGATCACCTCCCTGAGCTTTTAGGATAAAAAGCGCTGAAGAAAAACATATTGCGTGACAGTTGAAGACAGTAAGGCAGACAATTCAAGAGGATCATGGCAACAGGTGTCAGGGCCGCTGCAGTAGGGTCTTGTTGTGGGAATGAGAGATTGAGCTCAACACTGAAGACTACATGAAAAAGTAGGAATTTATAGCCAGGAGCAGGGGGAGGGTAGGTGGATGGGAAATTACTAAGAGGAGACATTAGGAGTAAGGAGAATTTGGGCTAAAGCAACCTAATAGAATTGTCGCTGAAGACAGGCCAAGGTTATCAGACATCGCCTGGTGGAGGCTGAGGGAATCCAATCAGATTGGGAAGTGATCAGCTATGGAGGGTTGGGAGTTCTCGCTAGAACTAAATTTTACAATAAGTGCACAGAGGGACTTAGGAGAAGATTCAGGAGCCTGATAAAGTTGGGCCAAGCAAGACATCTTTGTCAGAAGAAACAAGGAACCATTGCTCCTCCTTTTTCACTTCTGCCCACACCTTCTCCTTCCTGAAATCTGGTCTTCCACCTCTCTCCTTGCAAACACGATACAGTTGAAGACAGTATCGTGTTTATATTCCTTATCTATACCAGCCTGGTTTTGTTGGGCGCAGCAATATGCTCAATTAAAAATATGCTTCCCGCGCGGAGAAGCTGTAAAACCCTAAGGTACGGAGACACACGATGCGCACGGAGAGGACTGAGCCGGAGAGAAGGGGCGGCTGATTGCCTGGCTGGCGTTCCCTAACGGGAAGGAGATAAAAGCTCCGACTGTGCTGGGCCCCAGTTCTGACTGCTCTGAACCCCAGTTCTAGTCCAGACCCCAGGGACCCAGGCTCATCTATAGGGAGCCGGGCTGTAAGGCGGAACCCTGGGGGAGCGGCGAAAGGAGGTCCCGGAGGATCGCACATTGCGCACAGAGAAGGGACGGTTGGCTGTGCCACGGGATTGCCCTGGCGGGAAGGAGATGGGGCTCCAGACTGCTCTGAACGCCACCTCCAACTCCACTTCCAATGAACTGAACCCCAGTTCTGGGCTCATTGGGGGAGAGCATAGACTGTTTGGTAGCAGAAGAAAATCGAGGGCACCTTTCTCTCAGAGGGAGCACTGAAGGACCCTGAGACTCAGGAGCCGCATAGGGCGGGGCTGAAGGAAGCCAAAGCTGTAGGCTCCACCCTGAAACTCCGCCCCATCAGGGAAGCTGTGAAAATGCCTAGACGAAATAGATCACAAATGAAAGAAATGGAGGACAAAAAGCGACTGGATATAGAGTTCAAATCTACGCTTATAAGGTTTTTCAAGAATTTCCTAGAAAAGGTCAATAAGACCTATGAGTATATGAAAAGGGATCAACTAGAATTAATAAGGAATCAACGAGAAATGATAAGGGATCAACAAGAAATAAAGAATACATTGTCTGAAGTAAAAAATATTATACAGAGTCCTAAAAACAGAATGGAAGATCGCAAGAATCAAGTCAAAGAGTTGGAACATAAAGAGCCAGAAGACACTCCTCCACAGAAGCAAGAAGACAAGAGAATCCAGAAAATTGAAGATAATGTAAGAAACCTCTGGGACAACTTCAAGCGAACCAACATCAGAATTATGGGGGTCCCAGAAGATGAGAGAGAGCAAGATATCGAAAACATACTGAAAGAAATAGTGACAGAAAATTTCCCCCACCTGGTGAAAAAATTAGACTTACAAGTCCAGGAAGCACACTGAACTCCAAACAAAAGGAATCCAAAGAAGACCACACCAAGACAAATCATAATTAAAATTCTAAGAGCAAAAGACAAAGAGAGAATATTAAAAGCAGCAAGAGCAAAGCAGGTAGTTACCTATAAAGGAGCACCTATATGATTGTCAGCTGATTTCTCAACAGAAACCATGCAGGCCAGACGGGAATGGCAAGAAATATTTAAGGTGATGAATAGTAAGAACCTACAGCCAAAGATAATCTATCCAGCAAAGCTATCACTCAGAATCGAAGGCCAGATAAAGAGCTTCACTAAGAAAAAAAAGCTAAAGGAGTTCATTACCACCAAACCAGAATTATATGAATTGCTGAAAGGGGTTCTTTCAGAAGAGAAAGTAAATAAAGATAAAAATTAAAAACAACAAGTGCGTAACTATCAACAAGTGAATCTAAAAACCAAGGAAATTAAAAAAAAAATTCGATGAACAATATTAACTGGTGAATATAATAGAATCAGAGGTATGGAAGGGGAGTGAACTGATGATTCTTGGGGAAAAGGGGAGAGGGGGATGTGGGAAGAGACTGAACATAAACTGTGCACCTATGGATGAGGACAATGGGGGGTGGGGAAAGGGCAGAGGGTGGGATGGGAACCTGGTGGAGGAGAGCAATGGAGGGGCGGGGAAGGAACATTTGTAATAATATGAACAATAAAAATTTATTAAGAAAAAAATATGCTTCCCGGCCTTTCTTGCCAATCCAAGGCAATAATATGTAAGCAGCGGTGGTGTGGGACTTCCAGGAAAGCTTCCTCAAAGGGATGGAGACTCAACTAGTTCTTTGACCTTCCTCCTCTTGTTTGAAATTTGGACTTGGCGTTGGAGGTGGGGCAGCTGTCTCGTGACCAGGAGGCGAGAAGTTACTGCTGAGAAAGGCTGGGCAGGAGGAGCTGGGTTCCTGATGGCCTTTGGGGCCCCATTCAGAGCCTGGGCTCCCCATCTTCTGACTTCTCATTACATGAGAAAAATAAGCACCCCTCCACACAGTGAGGGGTTTTGGTGGCTTCTTTCTCACTGTAGGATGAAGTCCCAAAAGATGCAGACACAGAGTAAAGGGGAGAGCCTGGATTTTAACACAAGCAGTCTGACTGCTTTAACCACATGCCAGGTAGACCAGACTTGGGTTTCTACCCTTTTAAAATGCTTGCCCTTGGGGTACATTCCCTTAGAGAGAGGGAGGCCGCTTGTCTGTCTGAAGCCTGTCTTGCAAGTTTGTCTGAGGACTCACTTCCGGCAGGGAATTGGCCTGGGGAATCTGGGGAATGAGCCCATCCTTCGGCGACTTGGGTGTGGCCTCCCTCTGTGGCCTCGGCTGGAACCTGCCAAAGGCAGGGCTCCCCAAGTCTGAAGTCCGCACGTGGGGGGACAGTATAGAAAGCTGTCCAACCAAACCAGAGAGGGTTGGGCCTGCATCACCACCGTTTGCCCACCATCCAGAACTGACATATCATTGCTGACATGTACACATAAGGAACTGTTTGACATGGAAATTGGGTCTCCAAAGAACTGGTGGCCCAGAAAGAAACTCACTACAGACTGATTCATATACCTTTCAGCATCGCGATTATTGCTTGTCTCATTTTCGATTCTTATAAGTATA